TGTCGGTGTGTGTGAGTGTTATCTCCGTATCCATTTTGAGATTCCTTCATTCACACTGATACACACACACAGACACACCGAAACCAGAATCCAGAAATAATTTTTTTTTTTTGGAAATGGAACCCATACCACCAGAAAATTATTATGCATCATTATTATCAATGACTTTTGTCGATTTAAGTGTGTTTCCATTGCTGCTGTTATTATTATTATTGTTGTTGTTGTTGTTGTTGTTGTTGTTGTTTCTCGAAACGAAAAGTGGAAAAAAAACTTGATAAGCAAAAGTTGAAAGTACATTAAAAATACAAAAACTTGATGCACTCACGACCCTATGCCATTCATAGCTGCAAAATTGAACCGGAACCGTAGAATATTTTTTTTGTTCTCTTCTCGGTTTTTCGATCGGGAAGAAAAACAACAACAACAACAAACGAATTGTGAAAGAAAATAAAACGCGTGTGCATCTCATAAATAATGGATTTTTATTCTCGTTTCTCGATCTGAAAATAAGTTAAAGTAGAACGACCCAGACATTTTCAAAAAACGAAAAACGAAAATATTCATATTTTTTAAAACAAAACAAAACAAAAGAAAAAAAATTCAAGCAATCAAAATTACCATTACGTTATCGATGATCCGATACGTACAACATTCGCACACACACACACACACACACACACACTTACAGAGAGATTTAAATTATTTTAAAATTCAAGAATAAAAAAAAGGAGTGAGAAAAATGGATACACACACACACACACAAACAAGATACGATCTAATCAATACGATTCGTAAAATAATGATTTTTTTGTTGTTTAAAATTGCTTTTTTTGTGTGTGGAAAAAAATGAATTGAATTGTCGATCCATTTTAGTTATTATTTTTCTTGAGCAATGTATATCATCATCATCATCATCATTAGTATTGGATGCACAAACACACACATACACACACACGACTTGATGATCCATCCATCCGTGCCATCAAATACCAGACATACACACAAAAACATTTGTTTCTAAAATTGAAATCGATCTGAATCAAAAATGAAAAAAAAACACAATAAAGATTTGCCAAGTAAATCGTTGATGATGATGATACAATAATAATAACACAACAGCCGTTGTTTCAGAAACAGACAGAAAGTTTTTTTCATCTTCTATCTTTCTCTCTCTCTTTTTTCCAGTGAATAAGACTGAATGACTACTGATTTTTTTGACTGATTGAGCATAAAATTACCATCCGAATGAAAAAATAAAACATGATTCAATACAATTTGGATTTGAACAGCAACAAAAAATGAAAATAACCAGGAACATTTGTGGTTTTCTCTCTCTCTCTCCCTCTCTTTTTGTAGTTGTTGTTGGTTTGATATGCATACACACACACACACACAAGTCAATCATCATCGTAATCGATTGAAATTTTTTATTTTTTATTTTTGATTTTCACGATCCAAAACAAAAAATCGATTCAAATTAGAAAAATGAAAGAAAAAAAACCACATTCATGGTGAATGAAAACGAGAAAGGGAATCATATATCAAAACGAGGAAAAAAATTTCCAAATCTTGATGGCTGGCTGCCATGGTTGTGAATGAAACAGCCAAAAAAAACGGGTTCATCATTCTTGAACTTTTTTTTTGAAAATGAAATTCAAAACAAAAAGAACTACTGAAACAAACATACGCTAATTATAAATTAATCATTTATAATTGAATTGTTTTTTTTTACTTCTTTATTTGCATTTTCTCTGTTTTTCTTGTTCTCTTGTTTATGATTCAAACATTACAGTTGTATCAAAAAATTCAGATTCCATGTATACATACGAAACAAGATCTCAGATGATGACAAATTATTAATGTTTTACCAACAGTTCCAGAGAGAGAAAGAGAGAGAGATGAAAGATTCCATTTATTTGTTCCAACAACAGCATTAATTAGTAGTGGAATAGAAAAAAAACTATTAGCACATTTAATTGATCATTATGGTTGTGTGGATATATGATGATGATGGTTTTCCTTCCTTTCATTTTTTTTTCTATTTGCTTCACTAATTCAATGACAATTTACTTTTTAGTTTTGAATTTCATCCATTGGAACAACATTGGTAATGTTTGTCCAACTAATTGATTTAATGTGTGTGTGTGTGTGTGTGTGTGTGTGTGTGTGTGTGTGTGGGTATGGGGCAAAAACAAATGATGATGATGATGATGATGATGACGATGAATCAGAATGGAGAAAAAACAAAACCAAAAAAAAACAAAAAAAAAACGGAATGCTAGTTATGGTTGTGGAACAGGCGAAAAAAAACCTACAATACCAAACATGGTCGACGAAAAGAAAAAAAAATATGTTCGTCACAGAAGAAGAATGAAAAAAAAACCTGAAACCACGATAAACATCACTGGATTTTTTCTATGGCCATACAGCGTTAGCAAAAAACCAACATAAATTCAATTATAAAAACCCGAACCATACTCAGAATATGGGGTAACAATGTCGTATATATACACACACACACACTAATATTCAATATGAGCCCGAATTACCAAAGCAAAAAAAAAAAAAATGAAATAAAAAATAAATGTGCCATTTGCATATACACACAACATGAGAAGAAGAGAAATGAATTTTGTCAAACAAAAAAAACGAAAACAACAACAACAACAACCACGACCACATAGAGTTAATGTCATCAAATTAATTATTTTAAATAGAGCAAAAAACAACAACAACGACAAAAATATGAAACCAGAGAATCTCCCCATACACACACACACACACATTTCAGATTCATCGAATATCATCACGACAATGGATGGAAACAGTGAAAATGGAGAAAAAACAAAATAAAATTATCATCACCATATCATTTTGAAACAAACGAAACGATAGAATATAGATTCTATGGTTACTTGAATCGATGATGATGATAGCGATGAATTCTAGAGATTCTTTCACAATGTAACAATATCATCGATATCTATAATAAAAAAAATTAAATTCAAGCTAATATAGTATAGTGATTAACACACAACAACCATATTTTATGAATCTTATGATTCAGTTGATTCTCCTGAATATATCGATGGTTGTCAGCAATGAAATTTGACAGTTTTTCATTGATTCTAGTTTCATTTTTTTTTCTCTCTCTCTCACTGGAATGACTTTTTTTTCGCTCAAAGTGGATAAATAATAATAGTAATAATAAATAAGAAACGATGACAAAAAAAAAGTAGAGATTGTATCGATGGCGACAGGAACCACACACATACATCATTTTTCTTTTTTTTATGCTTCCAAAAAAAAAAAAAAAAATTCTGGCCATGTGGTTTTACACCACCACCACCGCACACATAACGATGATGTTGATAATAATAATATTTTTCTGGTGATGATACCTTTGAACAACAACAACAAAAAAGGTAACAGCCCTATACACACACACAACCGAAATTTTCAATCACATAGAAAATGTGGGGAAAATTACTCGAAAAAAATAACAGATCCATTAATTTAAATTGATCCAAAATAACAACAACAACAACAGCAGAAAAAACGGAACTTTATAAAGTAAAAAAATGACAGCCAGGAGTCAGGGAGTTGTACACTTTTTTTTCAATTTTGTTATAGTTATGGATTGTTTGTGTTTGTGTCGTTGTTTTTTGTTGTATAGTAGCTGTCGGTTGTGGATATTTCTTTTTTTTCAATTTTTTAATTAAAAAAAATATCTATATAACAGACAAACAACAACAACAATCTGTTCGTCATCCACGATCATCATCATCATGATATAACCAGGATCATGATCACGATCCGATGACAATCATGATGATGATGATGAAAAACGGTCCGAAAAAAAGTCAGAAAATTTGTTATTGTTTTTTTTTATTATTTTTGAAACTAAAATCGATCGATCGATGAACCTGGAACCAAGAACAACAACAAAATTTGACTTTTTTCTCCAGAAACACATACTAATATGTCTATGGACAATAACCAAAATATATATTATTCACATGCAAATATTAATGTAATAGAAAAAAATTTTTTTTTTACTCACGTTTGAATTCAATTTTGATTGAATCATTGAATTTAACCAATATTTTCTGGTATCATTATCATCTGTGTGTATGCATGTGTGTATGTGTCATCAAAGAATGAATAAATGGATTTTTTTTCGTTGTTGTTGTTGTTGAATTGATGATTGTAACTCAGAAGAAATATATGTCTGGTGATCAGGAAAAAATGGTAAACACACCCAAAAAAAAAAATAGTTAATATCAATTTCGATGAAATTGTGTTATTAAATATTTTTTCTGTATATGAGGCAAATATTATTACGAACACCGACGATTCATTTCGATTCATTTTTTTTCAATTTGTTGTTTCATCTATTGAAGATTATAACGATGATAATGATGATGATGATCGCTTTTTATTTAATCGTCAATGATGACAATGATGACAACAGAATTGATAGAAAATGATCGGAAACGTTTTTTTTGGTATTGAAAATTATATTTGATGATGATGGAACCTTCGTATACGAAATATATTTACAGTAACGGATATAAATTAATATATATAATACTGGGAAAACTGTTTCACATTTATCACAATCAAACAAAAAATAACCATTAAGAAGAAAATGGAACGCGTTTATTTATTCAATTCAATTTTTTTTTTGTTCACCGTAATTAATATATTTTCGATCGATCGTTCATCAGATTAAAAATCGAAAATTTTTGTCACAAAAATTCGAACATTGCTCAATTTTTTGTTTACAACGCAACAATGGCGCCATCCAATGTTCTGTAAATGAAATGATTTTTGGAATCTATTTTTTTTTCTTGTTTGAAATTCGACTCTTCATCATCGTCAATCAATCTGTAATAATAAATAAATTAAATTAATTAAAAAAAAACATGATGATGATGTTTGTGTTTAATCGATGACGATGATTGATTTGATGAAACAATCAAAACAAAAAACAAAAATGCAAAATAAATTGCCACTGACACTGACATTCAATCAATCAATCAATCAATCAATCGATCAACCTAATCATTTTCTGTCATTTTATTTGGTTCGATTGTTGTTCATTTTTTAGACCGATTTCCTGTAATAATAACAAGAATGAAATCCATTCACCATTATCACGTATTTTGTATCACTTTTATTTCGATATTCTTAATGTTAACAACGACAGGTATGTTTCTGGTTGCATTCAAATTTCATATTTATAACAATTTTTGTTTTTCTATCCTTTGCCAACAGCCAAACGACTTAGATTACCAATGTTATTACGAAGTAATAAATTCGAATGTACATCTACAAAAGATATTTGTATATTCAGTGTCAAAGGATTTGTAGAACAACCGAAGAATAATATTACACGATTTTCGGATGGAAAACAAAATTTTTATCATTTCGAAATCAATGGTAAATTCAATGATAATATTCAATTCATTCGATAATTTTTTTTTTTGGTTTGTTTATTTAAATCAATTCGCAATCATGGAATAGCAAAATCAGATTACAAAACACCCAGAATGGCTAGATTCTATTTCAAAGCATCATTGTCATCATTGAATAATTATGATCATCAACAACAGCAACAGAAACAGCTGAAATCGAATGGCACTATTGCTGCATGTCTTGCCATTGATTACCTTATACAAGGTAATGTTAAATTTTTGCTAATTATCAGTCAACAATCAACCGAAACCGGACAATTGCACGTATTAAATCAACAACAAATAAATCATTTTGATCGTATCGAAAATAATAATAATAATAACAATAACAACAACGTATGGAATACAGCATATGTAAATCTTGTGGCCAAAATGAAAAATGCTCGCGACACATTCATATTTGAAGTTTTATGTACGAAAAATTGTACGAATAGATCAACATTTTCAATTTCACGTATCAATCTTGATTGGAATCAATGTCCATTATCGTCATCATTATCGTCATCATCTTGAACTCGGACCAAAAAAAAATGACTTGTTGATTGAAAACAGAAAAGAGAGAGAGAGACATTATTTCATTTTTGTTTTATTTTTTTTATTTTCATTCAATTTTTGTTTCGTTTAAATTTATAAATTATATCATGTTTTCTTTTTCATGATTCTCAAAACAAAAAAAACAAAAACAAATTAATGCTGTGAATGGCTACCATTATACAGTGCTTCTATGACGGCATCAATTTCATCACGAAAATAATGATATAATTCATAACGTTTCAATTTCATCGTTGGTGTTAATAGGCCTGAATCATGTGTAAATGGATCTGAATGTAATACAACATCATGTACTTGTTCATATTCTTTAAGTCGTTCACGATTTCCAATATTTTTTATATCATTAATCAATGTATTACGGAATGCCTTTTATACACACGGACATTGGCCGGACCGAAAAACAAAAAGATAGTGAGAGAGAAACAATTCATCAAAATCAAAATTTATATATATTGAATTAATTTACCACATTTTTACAAGCTTCAGCTGAACTTAATAGCATATTATTTTCACTACACCATAGATTAATGCCATCAATATCGGGTACGATTACAGCGATTAAACAGCCCTTGAAATGAAACAAAATAATTTGATTCAATTAAAAGTCTATAGATATAGCATAGCAGAAGAGAAAAGAAATCATTCAAACAAGCCTATCATCATCATATATATACCCGTTCAATATCGATATCAACATAACATTGACCCACATAGATACTTTGTATATAAATGTTTTCAATTTTATTCGGTGCAACCCAACGAATTATATTGTTATATTGGATTACTTGTAAATCTCGTCGTCGATCCATAAATTTTAGACCATTCTATTGCAAAAAAAACAACAACAACAATCAAAATGAATTTTAATCACAATTTTTCAATCACAAATATACCATTGTAAATTGGCCAACATCACCGGTATGAAACCAGCCATCTTCATCCACATTTTGCATATAAGATTCATAATCTTTATAATAACCAGAGAATACATTTGTACCTTTGACACAAATCTATGGGTGGAAAAAAAACTATTAATCGGATTGGAATCATCATTTTTTTTCAAAATTAATCACCTCTCCCATATGGGCATTTTTAGTCCAAATATTCATTTCAGGTACATCGATCAATTTGATTGCACAGCAAGCAATTGGATTGCCTAGATGTCCTGAAATTAAATGTTGTTATTGTTTTGTATTTAAAAAAACAATGAATAACACTTACGTTGTGATTGATCATTGTATTTGGTCAACGTGACAAACGATGAACATTCCGTTATTTCATATGATTGTAGTACAGTACATCGTAATGAATTTCGCATAAAATTCAAAACCATATCGGAAATCTGATTCGATCCACTGATCAATAATTTTAGATTACCACCCAACATTTGTTGAACGGTTTTGAATACAAGTTTATCCCATATGGAATTTTTAATATTATCACTGCATGAAATATCAAATAAAAAAAAACAATTCAATGTACCATTGGTCAGCTGTTGGCTTAAAATGTAAACTTGAAATTCATTACTTGAAAATAGTGTCTGAATTTTTTGTTTTCAATGCAACATTCAACACTCTAGATTTCATCCAATTTCCTTTTAATTTTCCAATTACACGATGATAGATACGATTCAATATTCGTGGTACACAAACCATAATAGTTGGTTCCAAAATTGGTAGATCACGTGATAAATCTTTGAAATCACCAAAATAAATTCCAACACGTCCACCGGAATAGAACATACAAAGTTTAATGATACGTTCACGTAAATGTGCTATGGATGAATAGGATACCATTGTTTCAAATTTCAAATCAATATTTCCATTCTGCAAAAAAAAAAAAAGATTCCACAATCTTGATATCAATTTTTTTCATTGAATTTAGTAAAAAAAAAAAATCTTACAATTTGATATAGAATTGCTGAACAATTTGCGACTAAATTGCCATGTGTCAGTAGTACACCTTTTGGTTGACCAGTTGCTCCGCTTGTATAGCTTACCACTAAATTTTTTTTTTTTTTTTAAAAATTTAAAAACTTTATTCATTCATTAATCTTACATGCTAAATCAGTGGCCCTTGGCAACTATCAACAATTAACAATTTCATTAATTAATTAATTCATGAATAAACCCGTGGATCTTACATACATTAACCGGTGATGGATGTAAAGAACCTAATCCGCTAATAAATTTAATAGAATTTAAAATTGATTAACAAAACAAAACCAAAACAAAACAAAAAATCAATCAATCAATCAATACTTCAATCTCAGTGAATGGATAAAGTTTAATATTCATTTTCTTTCCATATGTCAATGTTTCCGGATGAATATTTTCCGATGTTATAATAATAGTATGTAGAAATGAACGACAAATACGTATCAATTTTTTTGCACGTTCATTTGAATCAGTAACAATGACACCTGGTTCAACTGGAATGAAACAAAAAAAAACGAAACATTTAATCCATTTGAAAACAATTGAAACAACAGTAGTACTTTGATTTAGAATTTCCAATACAATGCTACCCTTGAATGAATCATAAATAGGCACCGGTACCATTGAATAATGATAACAACCAAATTCAGCAATTAATGATTTAAAATTATTCCGTCCATATAATACAATCATTGTATGATTATTTGGTTCACCACCAATATGTACTAATCCTGAACCAAATGAATGCATTTTGAATATTGTCTATTCATACAATTTTTCATTGAAAAATTTTTTTTTTTAAAAGATTCGAAAAGTTAAATCAATTTGACAGTTTTCAAAAAAAAAAAAAAAAAAAAATTGAAAATGAACTTAACCTGATTGTAGCTAAACCATTCATAATCACTGGAATAACCACTTTTTCTTCCGATACAATCTTGTTCCTCTGTTATATATTATAATATATATTAAATTTAAAATCACATGATGTTCTGATGATGTGATTCTTTCTTTTCTTTCACCCAAAAAAAAAATTTCCTTACTTGCTATTTCAAATCCATGATAAATGCAGTCTAGGCAAGTTTTCACTTCAGGATTAATGGTTAACAAATATTGTTCAGTTTGTGAATACCAACGGATATTTGTACTGTCCATAGTCTTCGTCGTCGTTGTCGTTTCCTTATCAAAATGGCCAATGACATTGGTGGTATCCCGTCGAAAAGTGATAAATTCAACGAAAAGAAAGGAAAAAAACCAATTTCAGATGAACGATAAGAAATAAAAGTAAGCAAATTTTTCTGAAAAAAAACTTACATATTGTGTTTGGCTATTCGAATCTTTATTATCATCCATTTTTATTTTAGTAACAAAATTTATTCAATGATGAAAGTCAATCAAAAGTGAAATGAATAAAACCTTGAATTTTTTTTTATTTCAATTTAAACCAAACAAAATTTTTTTTGAAAAAAAATAAAATGGAAAAAAAAACGTCAAATGGAACATTATCGATCCGTGGGAATATTTTAAGGTTTTTTTTTGTTTCGATTCTAAAGATTCTTGACAAAAGAGCAAAAGAATAGAAAAACAGGATCATAACTATTGAGCTGGTTACCTTAGATACGATACATTTTAGAATTTTGAAAATTTTTTTTAAAATTTGCTATATAACTATGGAAATCGATATAAATAAGTTTCACTTCAAATCATCATCATCATCGTCATCATTATTCGTTTTAATTGATGGTAACAGGACGATCTTCAGTGGTAACTTCAAATCTAATTTCATCGGGTTTTTCCGGTACATTCAACAATACTGGATCGCCAAGATTTTGTTCACTTTCACGTGTAACCAATGTACTATTTGGACAAGTAGAACGTTCACTAAGTTGTAATCCAACACGATTGATTTTATGATGATCCAAAGTTTCATAAATATTTTGACGAGTTGGATTGGACAAGGTACCATCACGAGATAAAAGCCACAAGTATTCTGAATGTATGGCGAAAAATATTATTCCAATATTGAATAATGAAATTTTTTTTGATTCAGTACTTACCAGTATGATAAAATCCTTGAATAATACTACTTGTACAGGAATAAAGAACAGCAAACTCCTTATAATCGGTATCGATAATTGTCACTTCAGAACCTTGGAATGGTACACCAAAACCATAACGAATGTTGTATTTACCAACTTTGGTTCCTGGATGTGGAAGACCATCACCTTTGACGGTAATTGGCAAACCAGCGCTAATATAATAATCATAAATATGTTAACAGCGAAATAGAAATAAACATCAATTACTCACAGTGATGTTCCTTTAACGATCACATTCAAATTGCCATCATTGTTATCTACGAACAAACAAATTAATAAACAAAAATTTTGTTGAATAAAAAAACCACTCAGATTATTTCAGAAGTACCTGTACTACCTAGGTAATCAACACGTAAACAACGCATCATAAAATCAAAAATTGATGGTGTCTTTTCAACTTCAATCCAATGACCCAAAAACTGTCAATAATAAAGAAAAAAGAATTTGTGATTATTATTTTTTTTAGTTAGAGTAAAAGCAAAAAAAAAAAAAAAAATAATTTCATACTCGAGCCTTATCAAAGGTTGTCATTGATGGAATAGATGGACATGGTCCGGATACAAATCGTTGACCTTCAATCAATGAAATTGTTGCCAATAAAATGATTAAACGAAACATTTTCAATTTTGGAAAGTTCAAGTTTCTTGTTGTTGCTTTTCGTGCAATATAATAACAAAAATCAAATGAATGATAATTTTCACCAAGTCAAATGTGAAGGGTTTTATTTTGTAGTGTGATTTGGTATGAAGCCAATTGAACACTAAGCTTGATTTTCATCAAATCATTGGATATTATATAAATTTTAGTATGGATTTGATACGATTACGAAAAAAAGGGCCTGTTTGAACTGGACATGATGTGTATGAGAAAGGTCATCATACTTTGTTGTAAATCTATCTGTATGTTTGTATGTATTGGCCAAAAAGGTAAACAGGTGTGGAACGCGGAAAACCAAAACAGGACAACCAGCTACCATAATGATTGACGGTGATGAACATCCCAATGTCCATGTTATCTGTATATACAAATCAAATAATTTATTGGGAGAAACAAAAATTACCGATCACAAATGAACAAAAATAAAACTGGATATATCAACAAACACACATACACACACACACACACACACTGAAATAAAACATTCAATGAGGGAAATCCAAATTTGATTGCTCATCAATCAATCGGTAACCCTTGACCTTTTTCAATTTACGATGAATTAAATTCTCATGAAATGACATTATGTATGGATGAGATAAGAGTAGAGAACTTGATGCCAAATGAAATTGTAAACAATATATTGAGCATACGAGAATGCATTAATTATTTTGTCCATTCTATCAACAAGCTAAATAGAATTTTAAATTAGATAGATTAAATAAAAACAAAATTGTTTTAGTTTTCGTTTGGCGTATTGATAAACGATTTTGATTTTTATTTTATCTACCAAAAAAAAAATTTTTTACTCACCCCAATTGAATCCATACAATTTGAATGAAATTGTTGAATTGAGATCTATTTTGCATCAACAAACCATTCAAGTTTGAATAGAAATTTTTGAACATGAGTTTAGGCCACACCTTTCAGGATACTTTAACACAGGTATGGATACTCAATTTATGGGTTGGGCTTAGTGTATCCATTGGCTCAAGCGTGCATGTGTGTGTTGACACGTTTTTAGCACTTCCAGCTAGCTTCAAAGTTTCCTGTTCGTTCTTTTCGCCTTGTGTACTGTGTTGTTTTGTTGGAATTTTCATTGTTTTTCATCAAATTCTTCAAGAATAATGTCCGGAAAACGTAAAGGAAAGGCAAAGGAGGAAACTCCAAATGTTCAATTGGGTCCACAAGCATTGGATGGTGAAAATATATTCGGCGTGGCACATATTTATGCTTCATTCAATGATACTTTTGTTCATGTGACCGATTTATCGGGAAGGTAAGTTTTTTTCGAAAATTTTTGATTCTTAATTCTTAAAATTATTTATTTGAAATTTAATTAGTGAAACATTTGCACGTGTTACTGGTGGTATGAAAGTAAAAGCTGATCGTGATGAATCCAGTGCATATGCCGCTATGTTAGCCGCACAAGATGTTGCCGAAAAATGTCGATCATTAGGCATTAATGCTTTGCATGTAAAACTTCGTGCCACTGGTGGTACAAAGACCAAAACACCGGGACCTGGTGCTCAAAGTGCTTTACGTGCTTTAGCTCGTTCTGGTATGAAAATTGGACGTATTGAAGATGTAACACCAATTCCACATGGTGGTACACGAAGGAAAGGTGGTCGCCGTGGTAGAAGATTGTAAAACATTCATATTTTTTTTCGCCTATTCACCAAACGAAAAATTGTATTTTCTAAAATTTCAATGAAAATAAAAATTTCAACCGAAAAAAGATTTTGGTGACATTCAACGGACTAATTTTTTTTTATTCAAATTTTCAAATACAAGTAATATGAATACAATTACAATAAATAAATGGCATGGTGTGTGTGTATTGTGTATGTGATCATCGTCAAATAATATCATCATGGATCATTGTTGGAAATAAGTATTGAAAAATGATGGATGAAAATGATGGGCAAATTGATTATTTGGATTTCTTCGTGCCATTATTAGAAATATTGTTGCACATGCAAAACAAACAAGTACAATGGAAATGAATGCTGAAATTAAACTAATTGTAGTTATGCAGACTATGTTCGATGATGATGATGATGATGAAGATTGATCAATAATCATTGATGGATCATTATTGTTGGTTATATTATTGATTAATGGCATTTTTTCCACATTCGATATATCTAATGGAAATGATAAATCACGTGGTGAAACTACTTGTATTGCTTTGTTAAGGCCAATTTCTTTTTCTTTATCATCATCATCATTGGCACTGGTTGGTCGTAATGTTCCAGAGATGAGCATTTCATGTATATCACGACGTTTACGTTTCTTTTCACCATCTTCATTATAAAGATTAATTATTTCAGTATTTGATTGTTTTGTACATTGTTCTGGACATTGGAAACGACAAATCTGTATGGTACATTGAAAATGTACTTCCATTGAATCAGGAAATTTGAATGCCTGAAAATGTGTATAGGCAAGAACGCTTGCACTGGATCCAAAATTTTTAATTTTAGTAAATTTTGTCATCAATTTTGGCCGAACAATGCAACCATTTCCATCGACCAATTCGATTGGTGAACGTTTACCATCGTGTGCAATACAATTACGTACTAACATATCGAATTTACTTTCCTCATCTTTGATGGCCAATACCATGGTCATTGTTTGACCAATTTTAACGATGCCTGCAACTTCACTAGCCCATGGTCCTTTACCAACTTGAATCTGCATCCAACAGCCAACATTATCACCGGCAAAATCTGCACGAACCACATCAAGCATATCGACAGGAAACGGACGAAATGTAACCGCTTTTTCATATTGATCATGCCATGTACATCGTAATCGTCGTGCTTGATCCCATGCTTCTTGTACTTGTGGATCATATTGTATAATGATTGTGTTTTCGAAAAATAATCCATTATCAATGCCCAGATCTTCATTGTAAAATGTTCCCTGTGCATTGCCAGTAGTACCACATGAATTGATCGATATATCAAAGAATAATTTTTTCACTCCACTATTAGGCATTAGATATATACAATTTCTATAGGTATAATGGCCTTTACTAAATATTACGCCATGAAATGGTTTATCAAAATGTATTGATACTTTCATAGCATTTCTATCGCATTTGACATCCAAAAATGTAATCTTTGGTTGATCAATGTTCGACGATGGCCATTGTTCAGAATTTTCTCCTGCTGAACAAAAAAAATAAGTAAAAAATAAAAAAAAAACGAAAATAGGCGTGAGCAGAAAAAAATAACCAAAAAAAAAAAATCAAACAATAAAAAAAAGCAAACAATCAAACTGATCGATTCGATCTAGTTAAGCTTGTTGGTTGTTGATTGTGACCTGATTATCCTTGTTCATCATCATCATCATCATCATTGATGACTTACTTGATGAATCGCTTTGTAGATCAAATTCAAGATTATTTTCAACAGCAATATTTGGCTTAAAATTTGGTGGTGGTGGTTGAAATACAGCATGTGGTGGTGGTTGTTTCGATACCGTTGATGGTAATTGTGATGGTTGTTGTTGTGTTTGTTGTTGATAATGGACGTGTTGATCAGGTCGATTTGTGAAAAATTGTTGCGATGTCGGTCGTGGTTGTTGTTGTTGTATGTTCATGGTTGATTGATAAGATGTTGGTGATATTCTTGTCATACCATTCCTTAGTAATAAAAAATTCATTTCTTTTCCGGTCAACTGTTTATTGGTGGATTTAATGATGATGATGATGATGATGAAAAAAAATTCGAACCGAAACAAAAAGAGGGTTAAGGTCGTAAAAAAATTATTCATTCATTCATTCATTTCTATTTCAACTTACAGGTAGATATGGATTCGAACCAAAATCTCGAACCTGTCTCCGAGGCAATGATGATATTGGAGTTGATGTTTGCCGTCCATTATGATGATGATGATTATGATTGTGTTTATTATTATTCGTAATGATATGATTGTGATCGATAACGGTTGCGTCAACAATTATAACCTTTAAATGATGGAGATAATCATAAAAAATAAAATCAAAAAAACGATGAAATTGCGGAAAAAAGAATTTTTCAACAAAAATTATTATGGTTGATAGAAATAAAACAAATATAGATAAAAAAAACAATGGCAAGTGATTTATGGAAAATGAAAAAAGGAACGAGAACTGACCCTCTTTCGTTGTTGTTGTTGTTTTTCTCATAAAAACACATCGAGTGGGATTGAGTAAAAAATAAATTTTCAAATCCCGGAAAATATTTTTTTTTTCGCACCCAATTTGAATTGTATTGAATGTAGGGGTTACAAATGATTGGATGACATTTTGTGATCCACATATATAGATCATCATTTTTGATGGTTTGTTTTTGTTTCATCAAAAACCAATCTTTTTCAACATTGGATTTTAAATTTGAATTGAAATGAAATGACAATATAAAACCTATATTACCATATCATTCAACAAACAAACAAAAAAATCCAACCACAACAACAACAACAACAAATCGGTCACACAATCAATTGTAATACATGTATTAAATCGCCCAATCATCAAACAAAAACAAATCAAAAAAAAAAAAAAAAACCAAACCGAACCCATCATGATCATTTTCGAATTTTTTCGAATTGATAATTATGATGATGAATGGTTGCAACAAATTGATGTTGATAACCTGAGAATTTGATGATTGTTTTTTTTTATTCATCATCATCATCATCATCATGATCAAAATGTCAATGTGTCAGTATGCTAGATCATTATCCATTTATCCAGCGTAATATATAAACCATTGTCTTTCATATAGAAAATTTATTGGTGACAATTTCAATTGACAAAATTTTTGTTGTTGTTTTCGTTGTCGTTGTTGTTGTTGTTGTTGTTGTTGTTGTTGTTGTTGTTTCAACATTTTCATGTCTTCAACAATGACAATGAATAATGAACAATGTTCCTGTTTTTTTTTTTTTATTCTTTGTCCACTATAGTCAATTACAATTTTTTTTCCATTTCACAAACACATTGTTATTATTAGCATCATCATGGATGTCAGATTCCTTAATTGATAAAAAAAACTTGTGAATTTTTTTTCATGGCTCTCTCTCTCATTCCCCCATTTTATAAACTTTGACATCAATTTTTTTTTCTAGTGATGATGAAATCATGATAGAAAAAAATGTATTTAAAAAAAACACATGTGTATGATTTATTTTGTGATCGTGATATGTGATCGATTCGTGTGACAAAAAAAAAAATATGATGATGATGGTGACTATTACAACTGGATGATAAAAAAAATAGGGTTTCTTTTCATCATCATCATCATATTATTATTTTCAATTTCAGTCACACATTGATCGTCATTTGACACATTTACTTTTTTCCATTTCCACTATTATACATACATATGATGATGAGATTAGCTTATTTCACGAATGATCTAAATCTAGTCTGGTGCACTATTATTAATTTCAAGTTTACTTTTCTCAACCTCAAAAAAAAAAAAAGAAAATCTTTGTCATAGATGATGGATGAGAAACACTGTTCACGAATCAACAACATGCATCATATATTTACCGTTTATCTTTTCTAATGTCCATCTTTAATTTAATTATTCTAGGTCATTTTTGGTATTTACCTACTACTACTAACTACTGAAAGATATGTAAAAATACAAAACAAGCAAACAAACAAAGTAAAATATTACGCCCAAAAAAAAAAAAAAAAAAAAAAATACTGACAACGAATGATTATGATTTTTTTTTTGTCCAGTGGACATTGTGTGTTATTATTGTTGTTGGTTATAAATAATGCGGTCAAGTCCACTACTCTCTCTCTCTCTCTCTCTCTCTCTCATACTTTTTCCATAAGTAACATCATTTGCCAAAAAAAAACGTTTAATTTTTATTTTTTTTTCCTTTTTCCATATTCATTCTGTTGGTGCTGTTGTTGTTGTTGTTGTTGTTGTTGTTGTTGTTGTTGTTGTTGTTGTTTCAATGAATTTAAATAAAGAAAATGAAATTCTACTTTTACTACTGCTACTACTACTACGATATTGTCTAATCATTTTCATTATGATGATGATGATGATATTTTTGGAAAAAATTTTATCATTCATGAACATTATAATAACAACAACAACAACAAAAAATGAATGACCAGAATGAATGAATGAATGAATGAAAACGATGTCAATGATGAACAATGTCATGGATGGTAATAATTACATTTAATGATAATATGATGGCTTATATGATGAGGTTTGAACTTGACGTTTTTTTCTTTCTTTCTTTTTGCTTCTCATTAATTTGTTTTGTTTTTGTTTCTCAGCCAAAAAAAAAAAAAAAAAAAACAAACCGAACCAAACCCGAAAACTTTCATTAACCCGATTATATCATCATCATCATCATCGTTTATTTTAGTCAGACAAATTGATTGACAATTTCAAAAGTAAAAAAAAAAAACAAATAGTGAATGAAAAATGAACAATTTTGTATAATCATTCAACAATTGATGATGATAATGGTCATCATTATTTGTTTGTTTGTTTGTCTTTAAAAGTTTAATTTATTTATACTATAGCCAATAATATGCAAATAGCCGATTTGACATAGTTTTTTTTCCAATTTATCTACTCACTACTGAATTTAGTAAAAAAAAAAAAAAAACCACTGTTGATTGTTTATTCAAGATGATCTTATTTCATCTAAAAAATTTTCTAACCAATTTTCTTCTCTAATTTGTCATTTTGATGACCACTGAGAATAAAACAATGAAAATTTCAACACGTTCCACATACACACACACACAGAGAGAGAGAGAAAGAAATAATTCATCGATATATTTATGTTTAACCATTGTTTTTTCATTTCATTTCAATTTGACATTCAATTCACGTTTGAAGAAATTTTTTTTTCCTACTACCACCACCACCACCACGACAAAGATAAAAATCTCTGAACTAGAACGAAATATAGTGGTGAATAAGATAAAAAAAATAAAATAATCTGATGATCATGATTCTATTAGTGTGTGTGTGTGATAATTTTTTTTTCTTTTTTTTTTTTTGAAACAAATAAAAAAAATTACTACGTCAACATATAAATTGACTTTACACTTGATTCAATTATATAACAATTTCTTCTATATATATATTTACAGGATACACTTACAGATAATAATGAAAGAAACATAGACGCCAATAATAATGATGATGATACAATCGTAGTTGTTGTTGTTGTTGTTGTTGTTTTTGTTGTGGCACAATTCATTTTTTTCATTTCGATCTGATTCTTTTCATTGATTGATGGATTTTAACATTGAATGAATTTTTTTTTTTTTGCTGTCGAAAATCACACAATTGTAGTGTGTAACAAGTGAAGATTCAATTGATTCGAAGAAAACCAGAAGAAAAAAAAACAAGTAGAAAATTTGAAAACACACACACACACACACAGAGTTTCTATATCTCTTGAAATTTGAAATCAAAATGATGATGATGATGATGATGATGATCAATCAACAATGATGAATATTTTTTAAAAATCAAATGTCACATGGAGATTATGGAAAAAACTGCGAAAATAAAAATGATGAAGATGATAATGATGATGAGAAATGTGTGAAGAATAGGAAAGAGAGAAAAAAAATGATGAATAAATAACGACGAAAGTGATGTAAACAAAACAAAAAAAAGTTGTCAGAATTTATTTCATCGAAGTAAAAAAATCTCTTTCTAAACATTCCCGTTATCATTGAAAGTCGTGGTCAAGTTGGTTGGTTTCTCATCTTTGTCGTTGTTTGTCGGGCACGTTGATTTTGTCGTTGTTTGTTGTCCGAAATACAAAATGTGGACAATAATGATGATGATGATGATAATAATAGAAAACTTCAGTCAAATACATCAGGTAACAAAAAAAAATAGGAAGGAAAGAATGATGATTGTGAACACACAAAAAAACAAGAAAAACTCAAACATACACACACACAAATAAAGTGAAATAGAGAAAAAGAACGAATGATGAAAATTTAGGTGAAGGTAACCCAATACCGTTTGTTATTTTTTTCTGGCTTCATTCAATCTATGTCTCTGTGTCAGAAGGTAAAAAAAAGAGATTTTTATATTCTGATCTAAGAGACAACATCAACAACAATGATAAAGTTGAATTCATCGGATATGAAAAAAAGAAGCCAAAGAGAGAGAGAGAGAACATCAAGATCAAACAAAAGAACTGTGTTCTTTTTCTGTGTGTGTGTGTGTGTATAAATATGATATACACCTGTTGGTTGTATACAAAGATTCTGTGAATCTACTGTTCATCAAATACTTTGAAACCTATTTATGGAAACATTATCATCATCAACGACAACAACAACAACAATGATGATGAACATCTATATTTTTGTCGATAAAAAAATTTACTAATTGCTCCATATATGGCGTGTTTCAATAATGATAATTGTTGAATCAATTTCATAATAATTATCTTATAATCATCATTATGATGATTATCGAATTGATTGTTTTATATTTATTGTTTTGATAAGAAATAAACTTGATTTTTGGAACAAAAAGAGACAAAAAATCCTAAAAAATTTTCCGTTACAAAAAAAAAATGATCGATTCATTTTGTGATGAATCTGCATACAAATAGATATCTTCATCAATATATTTGAACACAAAACATTTGAAATATTTTTTTTTTTTTTTTGCTGTATATGAAAAAAAGTCTTGTTTGTTTTGAATAAAAAACAATAAACAATAGAACGGTATGGTAGAATGGTAAATGGATAAAGGTCTAAATCATCATCATCATCGTCGTCGTCGTCGTCATTTTTTCTTATTCGAATATAATGATGATACACAAAACAATAAAAAAACAAACAGATATACGAGAAAGATCATCTTTGAATCGACCTTTACTCAAAAAAAAAAAAAAACCTAACCATTCACATCATGTGAATGGTTATATATATGTCAAATCATCATCACTTTAACAATGGAAAAAAAAAAACATATATCGTTATGAATATAGAAAAACAACAATACTGTCCACAGTAGTTTAATCATTAAAAAAAATATTTTCATATTTAAATGGACTAAATATCCAAATGAAGTAGTGGTCGGTTTTTTTGTCTGTTGATTATCCACATAAACATAAACCACATCATAAGCGATTCAAAGAAAGAAAACAAAAAACAAACAAGTATATTGGTGGATATTTACATGAATCATTTACATTTACCTGGATACTTTTTAGGTATATTTTTAAACATTTCGTTTTTTTTTGTTGTTGTTCTTCTTTTCAAAGATTAACCTTTAAAGACATTTATTTTTTTTCAGGATTAAAATGATATGATGATGATGATTTTAAAAGTTTTTTTTTTTTTTCGGTCTCTTTTTTTTCTTGCCCACTGTTTATGGAAATGAAAATTAGCAAGACACGAATTTTTAGTAGGCGTCGATTTAAAATTCTCATTGTTTTATGAAACACATTTTCCATGATATATATGATTAGATAATAATCGATGTGTGTGTGTGTGTATACTCATGGATTGTGTAAATTGATTCAATTGTTTCTTTCTCATCATATCATATTATTGGTCATATCAATTTGCATTATAAACACATGAAATGGACAAACATAGCAGCCATCAATCATTGTGGATTTGTTTTTTTTTCGGAATATTTGTTGTTTACTTTTTTTTTTTTTTCTTTTATTGATTTTCATAATTGAATCTATTTAAAGGTATATTTTTATAGCCATCATCATTTATATTACAATACAAGTATCATCAAATACAATAAGCAACACAGACACATAATGAACAACATAAGATTGAATAATATTTTGGTCAATTTGATTTTGTTATTTTATTGTTGAGAGAAAAAGTGTAATATTATTATTTTTAGAAGAAACAAAACAAAAAAATCTACATGAGCTAATTTGATTATTATGCACTTTGTTATGTATGTTATTTATCCATAGAAAATCAAAAGTTTCAATTCAATTCATTTGTTTGATGAACAACCATTTGTTGATGATAATATAACCGGATCTATTCCGAATTGTTTCAATTGTACAACATAATTGAATAAATAATCATAACATTCGGCCATTGTTTTTGCCTGTTTCCATGTACTACCCCAAATGTAAACACCATGACGACGTACAAGTACAGCATTTGTATCCGGATATTTAACCATAACCATTTCCAATTGATTAGTTAAATCACGTTCAAATGGTGTATTATCAATAATCGGTACGATTAATGTCTGATCATAACGATAATTTTCATTGGTTGTACCACGTTTTATACCTTTAATCATTTCTTGATGGCTAACACAAAATTCATTACCATCCGTTATGATTGTAGCTAAAACGGCCGATATTGAATGGCTATGTATGACGGCACCAGCATTACGTTGTTTATATGCAGCCAAAAATAATGGTGTACATTCACTTTGTTTTAAACATAATTCATTTGGTGGTAAATTTTTGACATTACCATCGATATCCAATACGAATAAATGTTCTGGTTTGATGCATTCTTTTTGTACGCCCGATGGTGCAATGTAAATATCATCATTCATGCGAATCGACATACCACCACCGGTACCGGTTACCCAACCAAGTTGATACATTTGTCTACAAAGTTTTGGTATCAATTTTCTTGGATGTTCATCATCATCATCATTGACAATAATAACATTAATATCATCATCATTGTTATTGTTTTTTTGTTGGTCATTTACCATAGTAGTATTAGTAGTAGTAGACATTTTTTTTTATTATTTTGTCACCTTTTGTTTGATGCAAAGAGAAAAGCAAAAAAAAACAACAAAAGAAAATAAACAATTCTGTTGTTGTGTTAAATCAACAAGTATATCTTTCAATGAATTGAATGGAAGAATTTTATGAGAGAAAAAAAAATTACGTTACACGATTTTTTTCCTCCGTGGTAAATGGTAAACACAGAAGCAAAAAAAAATAAAAATAGTGGTAAAACCAAATGAAAAATGTGTTGATATCATCATCATCATCTTATCATCAACATTTTTTTTTTCTAATCAATTTCGATGAAACAAAAAAAAATTTCTACTTTAAAAGTTCAAAAAATTGTTTTTGCAATAAAAAAATCAATCAATCAATGAACATAAAAAAAATTGCTACACTATCGACATCTATTGGTGTGAATTATAAAACATTATGATTAGAAAAAAAACCAATAATGCTGCCATCTCGAGTTTTGCAGTGAAAGTAATGAAAATTTAAATTTTTAAAAAAAACAAAACAAAAACAAAACACAAAATATGAATGATGATAGAAAAAAAATAAATTTTTTTATTCATTATATATCAAATAGGCAGTGAAATTAAATACAAAATATGAATGAATAAATAATAAAAAATAAAAATAAAAATAATGATAATAAGAACATGGAAATATATCAATAATCATGGAAAATTCAAAAATATTCTTGTTGTCAATTTTTTTTTCTCCAATTTCAAATTACAAACGAATCAATAGGCAATGATAATGATAAATACACACACACAAAAAAAATAATATGAAGAGCCGAAACTATACGGACATTAAATTTGGCTTCCAAGGTAATGAAAAAAAAATCATTTATGAAACATTTGACATGCTACTGTTCATTGTAAGATAATAAGGTAAAGATGGTGTTAATGTTGTTGTCGCTGATTGACATGGACAATAATTTCCATTACAAATATGTGTAGATGATTTTTGACATTGTTTTCCAAACATTTTTGTTGATGTTGTATTTTTTAATCGTATAACCAATATAACGGTAACTGCACAAGTGATCAATAGTAGTAATGCAAATAAAACGATACTTATAATGAATCCAGTAGCTGGTAAACAGATCATACTAGGTAAATCGGTTATTGTTTCATCGATTTCTATTAAATTATCAGTAGAACCGGGACCATTACCACCACCACCACCACCACCATTATTGGTTAACGGCAGTGAAAAAGCAACATCACCAGGTGCAACTACTTTGATTATTTTTTCAGTATTTACATCAGTCGAAATCTTTGTTTCATCATCATCATTATTATCGGATTGATAATCATGAGAATTTATTGATTTTTTCTTTCGTTCCAGTTTGTTTAGATTAAGCGATCTAGGCATGGCACCAATCGCATTCAATGTCATAGGTAAATTACTTTGATTTTGTCGCATTTGTTGTTGATGATGTTGACTAGCATGATTATGATGATGAACTGTCGATACGGTTGTCGTTGCTATCTCACCGAATCTATTCAAAAATTTACGATTATCATCTTTTTGTAGGCCACCACCAAAATCATCGCCTTCACAGTTGACCGGTGGACATTCATGGCGACATACTTGGATGACACATTGAAAATGTACATTCATTGAATCAGGAAATTTGAATGCTTTAAAATAGGCATATGAAACAACCGTGGCGGATGGACCGAAATTTTTAACCCGTTGAAATTTCGACATAATTTTCGGCCTCACAATACAGCCATATTCATCCACCAATTGAATTGGTTGATGTTTACCATCATGTGCAATACAATTACGTACTAACATATCGAATTTATTCTCTTCATCTTTGATGGCCAATACCATGGTCATTGTTTGACCAATTTTAACGATGCCAGCAACTTCACTAGCCCATGGTCCTTTGCCCACTTGAATCTGCATCCAACATTGAATATTATCGCCCAAAAAATTAGCGGTAACCGCATCCAACATATCAACATTGAATGGTCGAAATGTAACGGATTTTTCATAAAAATCATACCAAGTGCAACGTAATTTTCTTGCTTGATCCCAAATTTCTTGTACTTGAGGATCATATTGTATAATAATTGTATTCTCAATAAAAAGACCCAATGATGATGATGGACTATTCGTTTTTTCACTGCTTGCCATTCCACATGATCCTAGATAGATTTCAAAATTTGCCTGAAGCTTTCCAGAACCTTTAATAAATGAATGGAATTGATGATCGAATCAAACCATATATACAAATTAAATGGAAAGAAAATTGAATCAATTTTAAGGTTAACATTAATATTAAATAGAATATAAAACATACCTGCGGGCAAATGGATACATTTTGGGTCGCTATTTAATTTAATCGATAAAGGTATAAAACAAATCATTAGAAATGATTACAACAACAACAACAAAAAAGTCGGTCAAATTAAATCGAAATAATCATCATCACCATTAATGATGATTCGATTCATTGATATAAATTATTCAGAAAAAAAGGAAAAAAAATTAAACTTGCCTATAGTATCCTTTGCTAAAAATAACACCATTGAATGGTCGATCAAATTCAATATTAACTTTCATTTGATTTTTCTCACATTTTACGTTGATTGTCTATGTAGGGGAAACAAAAATGAAGAAAGAAACAAATGTTGGTTAGTGAAAAGAAATGAAATAAAATTTTAAACTGATGTATAAAATTGCATCGTTTTTTTTCGTGTGAAATTTCATCGATTTGACAATTTAAAATGTGATGAATATTATGGCTGGCCATAAATCATAGATTAATCTATCTTTAAGCTTTCATCAAATCATAAAAACATTGAAAAATCATCGGATTTAGAACAAATTTTTTTCAAGATGATGGAATTTTACCGTGGAAAATCTTTTTTTCTTCTTCTTGTCTGATACAAATCATCATGAAAATAAATATGAAAAAAAATGGATAACGATGACCTTTAATAACAATGTTTTTTTCCCAGTAAAAAAATAGGAGTAACAAAATATCCAATTCATTAAAAAAAAATTCCAAACAATTTAGCATCCCAAACAACAAAAAAACCCTGATCATTTTAGGTATCCATTATAATCATCATCATCATCATCGTTATTATAGTCCATTCAATTCATATCATCATTGATCATCATGGTCAGCAAATGGAAAGAAAAATGGATGAAATATGAACAGAACAAAATACTACCTACGACATGATGATGATCATCATCATCATTATCAAGATTATTTGTACGATCATTTTTTTTGTGTGTGTGTGTGTGTGTATGTGCGTTTGTTTTCCAACCATGAGGATTATCATTATTGTTATTTGTTCAACTATTGTCTTGCTAGATTCATCACCTTTTTCTTTCTTTTTTCTCCTTCATCATTATTATCAACATAGAGAACTGACCATTGATCATAATCATTATCATTGCAAATTTTGGCTATTTTTTTTCTCGTACTACCCTCGTGGATCCTCATTCATATATACTCGGAAGAAATTTTTTTTTCTATGATTAATAATTCAACATTGTTTTCAATCTCTCGGTATGTGTGTGTGTGTGTGTGTGTGTATGTGTTTAGAATGTCAAAACAACCAAACAGGAAAGCAAAGAAAAAAAAACTATATTTCAAGTTTAAGGCTAATTTCTTACAAATAATATGCACACACACACACACACACACACGCACAATGGGTTGCGTGAGAAATAATATAAACACAATGAGTAAACTTGCATTTCGATTTGACGGACAAGCATACACACATACAAATACCGGTAATCGGTTATCATGTGAGGAATGTGTGTGTGTGTGTGTGTATTCACTTTCAGTATTCATCGTCACTCAGTCAGTCGGCCGATATATCCGAAGATATGCTACCTTACGACCTAAATTTTTTGTTTTCTTTCTGTTTCATTAGAAACACATTTGTAGAGAATTGTTCACCAATAATCATCATCAAATCGACGTTTTTTCGTGTTTGAAGGAGAGTTTCTATTATACACCATATATTTGTTCAGTTATAAAGATGATGATGGTGATGATGATGGTGATGAAGATGAGAGATTGATGTTCGATAATTTCTTTTTTTTCAATTATCTTATATATATTGTGATTCGAAAAATGGTCAGTAAGAATGAAGGATAAACAAAAAACAAAACAAAACAAAACAAAAAATGATGACCATACGAATAGCATTCGTTGCTTGGTGAAGTGATAGATATTGAAAAAAAAACCAATCGAATCAAATTGAATTGTACGAATGAAAATCATCATCGATCAAATTCAATCGATTTAATTGTATAATTTTCCAATTGTTGTGTGGTATGACATATATATTGATTTGTTGTTGTTGTTGTTGTGATGATTTTTTTTTGTTACCTTGATCATTGAAGATTCCGGACGAACCATTGGCCAAAGTTCATTTTGACTTGCATCGATTGGCATTTTATTATTATTATTATTATTATTGTAGAAATTTGATGGTATATTTTTATTCTTCATAAAAATAGGTGCACCATTATGATTATTATGATTATTATTATTATTATCATCATCATTCATATCATATTGATCAGGAAATGAACGATGTTCTGCAGGTATAGCCATTGTTTCTTCTTCCAATAAATCTGATTTGCTATCAATTTCTTTTACCATTATATCCTGTTATATATTATATAGAAAATAGAATAAATAATTTAATTCAATGATGATCAATCACAGAAAAAAACAATCAACACCTACCGTTACAAGACAAAGAAAAATAATCGAACGAATAGTCGTTATAATCGACCATTTTGTTGTCCCAATTGTTAATAGAGCCGTTTTTGTTCTTGTTGTTGTCGTAAACATTTTGCCAATGTTTTTCAACATTATTATATAATAATTAGATCTGAAAATTAAGGAAGAAAAAGTGATTAATTTCAATTTGAATAAAAATCGAAAATAAAAATAAAAAAAATAATATCTGGATCAAATCCTAAATGCCGGTCATGATCTATATATAATAATAACAATGGCATGTACCTACTGCTATTGAAATGTGGACAATGATATCTATCATTATAAAGTAAAAAAAAAAAATTTCATTCATTCATTCCAATTCGCTGTTATCAAGAATCAATTTTTTTTTGTTGCCCCGTAGTATTCAGTACAAAATTGAATAATAATATGGATGTCATTGTGTCATTATCAACATCATCATCAACAACAACAACAACAACAACACTTTGGTCATTGATATTCTTCTTTTTGCATCTATATTCGTGTATTCGTGTATGCACCATAGATAACGAATAACAAGAAAAGACATTGTTCGAATGAATCTTTGTTCTTATCATCATCATCATGAAAACATTTGACATTTTTATTTTCATAATTACATGATGATGATGATGACAAATGGCAAAATCATTATTATTCATCAACATTTATCTGTATATACATTTTAGTTAAATTTAGGTTTTATCTTGAAAAATATTATTTATCACATTTTTTTTCTTCTTCTTCTTCTTCTCTCACTTCAGTATATCTTTACTTCTTCGTTGTTGAATATGAATGTCTCGACAAAAAAAAAAAATAAAAAAGAAGAAACGGTTCATCTGTCAATATAATCATAATCCAATGTCATTATCATCATCATCATCATCATAATCATTATGGCAATTATGATCATCATCATCTTTCAATACACATTTTGGATTCATTTATTTGACAATGAAAAGAAAAAAAATATATTTTGTCAACAAAAGATTGGTTAGATGCAATGAAAAAAAAAAAGAAATGATAAACAAACTGAATTCACAGTCGCAGATGAATGAATTTCTGTTCCACAATCCATAAGCTAATAATCAATAAGATTTTTCTATGGGTAGCTCGTTTTCTCTCTCTTTCTACCCGTCATCATCATAATCATCATCATCTTTCATTGCAACATTGATTTTTTTGATAAATACTCGATCAATCTAGCTGAAAGAAGAGGGATTGAGATCGAAACCACCAGCACCAAAAAAAAAAAACACGGTCACCATCTTTATTTTCAACCATTTAGCTGCTAATCAGGTCATATTCGTGTGTGTGTGTGTGTGTGTGTGTGTGTGTGTGAGTGGATTTTCAATGTCAACCGTCTGCTCTGTGTGTGTGTGTGTGTGTGTGTCGATGGTGTCCCAGATTTTTATTTTATTTTCGATATGATCATCTTGATCAATAATCGTGGTGGTATTTTTTTTTTTTTTTTAAACAGCCGTTTTTCACATTTTTTTAGCCTCGAAAATTTACCGGAAAAAAAAGATGAAAAATTACCGGCTAAGAATTTTTATTTTTTTTTTTTTGAATGATAACCACAACAAGGAAACAAGTTAAAATTCCAAGTGAATAATTTGTTTTAAATAAAAATACTAAATAATTTAGTTTGAATAGAATTCAAATGGATAATTTGACGTTAGATCGGTCAGTCGGTCGGTTGGTCGGTCGGTCGGTCGAATAATTCATTGAAATATTTTTTTTTATAAATCGAAATGAATGAATCTCATTGCATTGATTTTGGCCATAACAATGACCAAATGAATAAAAAAACGAATAAAAAGCGTATTTCTTTCTTTCTTTTTTTTCAAATGAAAAGAATAAATCAAATGATGATTATATAATCATAAACGATATTCTACTTTTTTCTGGTTTAAAAATGAAAAAAAAACCCAATCATACAAAAAAAAACATAACTCTGTACTCTGTATTTTCCTCAGTTGCTCAAAAAAAAAAATTTGATCATAAATTTCATGCAATCCTCATTCATTCATTCATTCATCGAATCGATTGACAATACAATACAACGAATGAATGGAATGATATGATGATGACCATAGCCAGAGAGCCACAACAACAACAACAACAACAACAACAAAAACAAACGACAAAGACCATAGACTATAATCACACAATTACAAATTACAAACAACAAACACATACACACACACACACACACAAAAATAACAATGAAAAAAAACCATTTATCGGAAGATAAAAAAAAATTGGACAACAAAATAATCTTTGTTGTTGTTGTTGTTGTGGTGGTGGCGGTTGTTGTTGTTGTTGAAAGTTTCGATTTACAATAATAATAATAATAATGATGCAGAAAAAAAGGATAATGATTTTATTCATCATCCGTCATATAATCTTCATGGTATTATGATGTAATTATTTTACATTTAACCGAACTAGGTAATAATCATCAATACATACATCATTGATGGTTAAATCTGCATTGTTTTTTATTTCTGTTCTTATCGGTAAATTTTACCCAATTTTATATCACTACACTGAAAAAAACTACTATTTTTTTTCTCTATTCTAAATCATGAAGAGAACAAAAAAAAGAAGTGAATCATAAGTCCATGAAAATGACTTTTGTTTATGTAAATGAAAATTGATTTAATTGATCAGTGGCAAAACGACGAAAAAAAAACTCTGTGAATATTTATCCCAAATGATCCATGACAACAATCATGTTCAGCATTTACAACAACAACAAAAAAACACTGAACAAATTTTTTTTCAAAGAGGTAAAAAAATGGAACGGATTTGATCGTTAAAAAAAACTGATCATCGACAATTTGGATGTTTGAAAATTTATTCGTATTTTAATGGATAATAATAATAATAATCACCGGTTCGATGATCAAGGAGAAAAAAAACATAGGATCTTTTCATAGGATCATTCGACGAACAATCCTATGAAAAGAATGAAAAAAAATTGAAAAAAATGAAAATTTTTTTCAATTTGGCTGCTAAATAAAAATGGTTAAAAATAGCGAAATAAAAAAAAAATTCGTGTTGATCATTTAAATTCAATTCACCATCATCATCATCATCATAATAATAATAAAGATGGTGATCGATAATCACAGAGATGATGATTTCAAACAAAAAAAAAATTCAATTTCAATCGATAATACAACATTAGCAGATTTTTGAAATATTATGGTGTGTGTGTGTGTGTTCGATTATTGGATTCGAATTTTTTTTTTTTTCAAAATCTCACCCACATATAAAATGATGGATGATAATTTTCACCTATCACCACAAAAAAATATTAACCTGGAAAAAATTCAACATTCAATGATTGACAGTGAAATAATAAAACAAAACATGAAATAATTTCGAGGTGGTTGATTAACCTAGTGTGAAATTCTAGTAAAATGGTATGATGAAACCAAAAAAAAAAAAAAAAAAAAAATTATCCATCACAACGATACACAGTGATAATCATAAGAAAAGGGGTACACACACACACACAAGCAAAAGGGTGACAGATTTCAATCATCATATCTTTCATTACTAGCGAACAACTAGAATTTATGTGTCAATCGTTGTTAATCAATGAAAAAAAAAACAAAGAAATCAAAAAAAAAAAAAATACACCATATGCCAAAAGATAGGAAAAAAAGAATGATCATGAATGAAACCACAAAAAAAAAAGCCAAATTAGTATCGAATAAAACGAAATGAAGAAGTGTGTGTGGTAAACAATTTCCCCCCGTCCGCCCCTTATTTCAATCAATAATCATCATCAAACATATCGTTTTGGTTGTCGTTCGATCGTAACGGAATATTTTTTTTCTTCTTCTTCTTCTTCTTCATCATTTCATTCATTCATTCATCTTTTACACTGTGAATTTCTTTTGAAGCGAAACAGATAGATAAATAAGTCTAATTCTTTTTCTTTCTTTTTTTTTGTTTTTGATTTACTAGAATAAACTTGAAATGACATCATGATGATGGAGATGATCATTTCGATCATCATCATCATCATCATCAAAAATGATGATCGGCATGAGATTTCATGTGTTCAGTCAAGCAAAAATTGTTACACGATTGCTTGATTGTTTTTTTTTGGTCGAAGAAAAAAGAAGAAAAAAAAATCAAAGATGATATAGACAGATAAATTCGAACTTCTAATAAATCTTTGAACAAAAAATTCGAATCTATTTGGAATGGACCGACAAACAGACAGACAAGCAGACAAGCAGACAAGTGGACAAACTTGATATTGAATGTTTTGATTGAATGATTGATTCAAATAGGAAATGTTCAGATTGGGTGACATTTTTTTTTTTTTTTTTTTTTTTTGAGGAAGGGACGTCAATCTTATCTTTCATGATGATCTACGATTTGAAATATTATATCAATAGCATGAATATTCATTTTTTCTTTGGTTTTTTTTTGAAAATTTGTCTACCTTGAAAATAAGAATGAATTTTTTGTATCAAAATTAAAAAAACGACATGCATGTAAAATAATGAAACAAAACTTACCTTGTAGTTGTGGTATTGTGCAAAGATTTGTTGATAATGTCCAATGAATGACACTTGATCGTTGTTGTTTTTTTTTTTTGAAAAATGAAAAAATTTAACAATTCAAAGTGAACACTGCAACCATCGTCACTATCGATTATAGAATCGATATCACAAAATAGATTATAGAACACCACCACTACCACCACCACGCAAACAACTTTAATGAATTCAAAAAATTGATGAAAAAAATGTTTTCACTTTAAAATTAATATTAATATAATATAATTGGATTAAGAATCTTTCGATTTAAAGTGATGAATATCTGTCGATCATATGGCAAGCGTTTTCAAGCAATCAAATATTTTAACAATTCTATTACCTATTCGGCTATTCAACAACAACGACGATATCGATCAAAGTAATGAAATGAAATGGTAAATATAAAGAACCCGAAAATCTTTTTTTTGGACAACCAAATATAACACCCAATTTTTTTTTGTTCAATATTCACATGTTATTTTTCTCTCATCTCATCTTCTCACTTCATATCTTTCTCACCAAAGAAACAAAAAACGAAAACGAAGAAGAAAAAAAAAGAATTTATTATACACACACGAGACATACGTAAAGTTTTGCCGAAAAATCGTGAATTGAAATAAAAGAGAAAGAAAACAAGAGACATGATAATCGTCAATGAAGAGAAACATATTCCAGAACAACTGTGAATTGGTCAAGTTTGTTTAGGCAAAAATTTTCGTTTTTCTTCGATTTGTACTCTTCAATGGAATGAAAATGTTGGCTAATAAATCAGGATACACACAAACATATTGACCGACCATATATATATTATAATATGTGCCAAGAAGCCATGATCATCGTTGTCGAATCAAGAAAAACTAACAACAACAACAACAACAACAACAACATGACGACAAATCAAGCAACCGAACGAATGGTTGGTTGGTTGGTAGTTTTTGACCTACACCCGATGACCTAGATTTACAATGATGATTGCGCCCTCACATCAGATCGAACAAAATCCTGTTTTTTTTCATTGGGTTGTTTGTTGTCATATATTATGTGACCATCAACATTAAAAACAACCATAACATTCAAACATACTGGTATTCCGAATCGGTCTGGTCGTATCATGAAATGAATTCTCATTACTCTATAATGATAACATGAAGAAGAAGAAGAAGAAGGGTTTCTTTTCACATCGCATAGCGAATGAATAAATTCAAACGAATTATAATGATGATATTATTATTTATTTTACATTCAATCAATTCAAAACGACAAAATGATGACAATGATCTTTCAAAAGAAAAAGAAAAAAAATCAAGACGATGATCATTTATGTTATATTTGACTTTGGTGGTGGTCGTATTAGGTGCATGATGATGATGATGATGATCAACAATCAACGCAATACCATCATCATCAATGAATATAATGATGATCATCATCAAGATTGATGATAATGATATTCATTCGGACCTTATTATTATGATATGATTTTGATTGTCAACTTTTGTTGTTTTTTTTTGCGAGGGTAATTGCCAAAAGAAACTAATTGAAATTACACGAAAAGGAATGAATGAAACGAATAAATAAATGAAACGAATTGAATGTTGTCTGAACAACATTATGATATCGTTAAATTATTATCTAATTTTATAGATTATCGATAAATAAATTTTGTCTGATCTGGTGGTCGAATTGTTGAATGTGACACAAATTTTCAAAAAATTATATTCAATTGATGATCGATGAAAGAAAGAAAGAAAAAAAAATCTTTTTGTTCCCCAGAAAATTTCCCATATCGAACAAATTGTTTTTCGTTTCGACGAAACGAAACGAAACGAAAAAATCATTGTGAAAATCAAAATGAAAAAAAAAAAATTTTTTGTTTGTTTATTTTTTTTTTTGTCTGTGCATGCACCATATTTCGAGAAAGTATTTCATTTGGTATTTAAATTTTTTTTTTCGTCGTCAATGGATTGCTCTCACTTTATTCACAATACATACACTGTTGTTGTCCAAGAATAATTTTGAATTGAATAACAACCAATAACAAACCTAATTGTTCTGATTTGTTCATCCATATCCATACACACACACACACAGAGACAAACATAAACAGTTATATATATGGTGTTCATGTCCTGAACACAATCCATACATTGAGGTCCACCACCACCACCACCACCACCACAACCTAATATAAACCATCATTTGACAATTATGATGACACCTACGCCTATTTATTATGTGGCTATTTATAAATCAAAAAAAAAAATAAATAAAAATATTTAAACCAACGACAAAATATTTAAATAATATCATTCGTTTGTCCATTTTTTCATTTTAATCGAGACAAAACAAAAAAAATAATCACACACACACCTTAATGTTGTTGAAATGGATTTTTGTTTTGTTTTTTCAACATCATTTGGACACTTTTTTTGTGTCCAAATAATGTACTGATTGTGAGCATTAAATAAACACAAATCAACATGCTGACCATTATTTTAAACATGAACGAACTAAAACAAAATTCAAAACAATGGATAGTCATACCAATGAATATATATATATGAGAAAAATAAATAAAAAAAGAAAAAAAAATTCATTCGACAGACCGAATCAAACGATCCATACGATTCATGCAAATCATTTGCATACGAAAAACAAACCCAAACAAGTCAAAGATTGTCGTAAAAATCAACATATAAATCTATCTACATATGGCCATTTTTTGTTTAATGTTCATTCTATTATCATTCATATATTGTTATATCCACCAACAACACCAGCACCAAAAAAAAAAATGGTTCTTCTTCGTTTTTTTTGGCCATTGAAAATGAAAATCTAAAATTAGATCGTTATAATTCAATCACACATTTACAACAAGAAGCAATGGTAATGTCCGATTGTCATTTGAGCAGAAAAAAAATTAAATTAAAGATTTAAATTTAGCTTAGACACGGGTTTTTGTTTGTTTGTTTTATTTGATTTGAAAAAGAAAATTCATTTTATTATCATCATATCGTTTATTGGTTTTTTTTTGTAAATGTTTGAAAAAAGAATTTTGATAATTAATTTAAAAAAAAGACCAAGAATGATTATGGTTTGTGTGTGTGTGTGTGTATATGTTGTGTGTTGTCTTTGATAAATTTTGTTGGATTGTAAAGAAAAAAAAAATTTCCATCCAATATTATGGAAAGATGATTGATTTTTTTTTTCATTCGTCTTGGCATTTGTGTCATTCATTTTCTATCATTATCAATCGATTCAATTTCGAATAATTCGTGGTTTATATATTCGTTGGGCGTATATCATTGTGATTATTCAATTTTTTTTCTATTATTTTGCTTGTTGTTGTCCTTTTTCATTTGTTCGTTCTGCTTATGATCACCATCATTTCGTATTATAATAATAATAATATTGGTAATGGGTAAATTTTGTGGTGACAAAACAGGATTTTTAAAAAAAACAGGCTTCTATTTGATGAAAGAAATGGGATCGTGAGAATTTATCAATCAATCGAATTCGATTTGAATATACATTGACATTATCGGTGAATTGCGAAATACAAGAAAATGAAACGATAAATGAACATTAGCAATTTTTTTTCACGAATTAAACATTAATTATTTTTTGATGATTAAATAGAATGATGATGACATACATTTTTTGTTTGTTTGTTTGGCCACACGAATTTTAAGACATTATTGTGACATAATGTCTGATTATCTTGATTTTTTTTTTGTTGTCGTTGTTATTTTCTTCACTACTAATTGATGTTTTCGATATTTTTGATAAATCAATACGAATATTCTCATTTTACATACAAACATTTTGTGTATAATCATACTGTATGGTTGGAATAACTGATTGTACAAATTTCAAAAATACAATCAAATAACGATCAACTTCTAAATGTTTTTCATTTTCTTCCATTGTTGTCATTATTTTTTTCATCATTTCAGCATGTCTACATGGATGTACAGATGCCATCATACCGGGTATATTTGGATGCCATTCCATTGTAACGGTTTTTTTGGCATGATCTTGACTAATATCTTCATACATTTCATCAATGGATAATGGACGTAAATATTCATCATAACCGGATAACCATAATCGTGGTGTTTGATAATATTTATCATACGTAATATAAAGATCATAAGTACGTGTTTGAATCACATTTTTATTATCACCAGAACGTATACTGGAATTTGGATTTGCTTGTTCCATTAATTCTCGTTGTATTTTCGATAAATCAGCCACACACTTATCTTCTTCATCACCAACATTCTGTCGATTCATATAGGTTTCAATATCTTCGGCTTCACTGTCATCATCGTCATCATCATCATCATTATTTTTTTGATTATCATTGTTAGCAGCCATGTTCAAATCACGAACCTGATCGATCAATTCATCATCTTCAGTTACTTCAACGCCAAGAACTACATCACCATCATCTTTTTGCATTTCCGTTTCATTGACATGTGCATCGACCCAGCCACCTTCATCATCATTTTCATCAATAATTTGTTCCTGAAATTTTATTGATTCCAAATCTTTGTAGCGTTTGAAACAATGCACTTTTGGATAAAAAAAATCAAAAGATAATTATTAGCAAATTTTTTTAAAAAACAATTATCACCTTGTTTAGTAATTAGAAATTGTTTATTTGGTGGTAAATATGTTTTTAATTTTGTTTTATCACCCGTTTGCCATTGCCATGTTGGACAATGATGAACAAGATGATCACCAGCTATCACAAATTCAGCAGGCGTTATAACACCAGTTTCTTTAAATCTTGATTCTTTTAACACTGGTGTTACATATTCGGCTACTTTTAAAAGCAATGACATTGTTTTGAAAATTGTAAAAAAATCTTAAATTCTCCTATTAGAACTATTAAAAAAAACCTTGGTAAAAAATGAAATACAATACACAATAAGCAAATCGGTGGTGACAAAACTGTGCGCGTGTATCATGTGATGTAAACACATTCTTTTATAAAAGAAAAAAATGATGCGTAATACGATTACGTTCTATTTGAACGGGACAGTTTTTTTTCTAAAATTAAAAAAAAAATTTTTTCACAATTAATTAATCAAATTTATTATTGCAAACAATGAAAAATAATTTCTGTAAATTATTGATTTTGATTGATGCTGTAGTTTCAAGATCAAATAATTGATATAAAGTAAAGATTTTTGTTTTTTGTTTTTATTTTATTTTGTTATAAAGTTAAGCGCGCGCACGAAAAACATCCCACCACCACCACAACCACCTCACAGACACACACACACACACACAAAAGGTAAGGACATTTAAAAAGTTCGTTACAAAAATACTCAAATATGATTGGTTCGTTTGAAAATTTAAATGGTTTGATGATGATGATGATTTGACACTGACAATTTGTGTATGGCATTTAACAACGTTAGGCACAACACAAATCAAGTGGTTCATAAAATATCAAACGATTTTTTTTTGCTGATACATTCAACTATGAACTTTGAGCCGTATTGGTTGTAGCCATAGTCGTTGTTGGATTTTTTTTTCAAGCACATCACCTAGCCATTTAATTTTTTTTTCTTTTAACATCAATCTTTCTTTATTTTGTTTCTGTGTTTATTGTTTTTTTTTTACCTGTAGTAAATTCATTTTTTTTTTAGCTAATTTTCACCTGAAATAAAGAATATCATGGAAAAAAAACCATTGGCTAATCTGGCAAATGTTGTTGTACGTGGTGGTAATGTTGATGGTCCAAAAAAGAACGTCAATTTGGCCACAACAAAAAATGATCCAAAATTATTGAAACGTGGCCGTGATTCACCACCAAATATGATGATGGCACAGAAGAAAAAGAAAAATTCTGCCACCAAAATCATTAACAATGATGAAAATGCTGTCGTATTCGATCCAACCCGTACAATTGAAACGAAAATTAAGAATATAAAAATATCACAAAAAATTGATTATTTACCATTGAAGAAACCTGTAAATAATAAACAAGAAACGACAACAATATCAACAACAGTTACAATAAAAGCTGTTAAAAATCGTAATGTTAACATCAAACAAAAACAACAACCATCATCACCAAAAAAGAATGATAATAAAAAATGTAAAAATCCTTATATCAATTGGCAAGATTATTATCAACCGCCAAAAAATCTACCAGACGATGTTATTGATCATGATCGTACACAATTGGAAAATATCAATTCTGAACCAATTTATGCATTTAAAATTTTTGAATATTTACGTGAAAAAGAACAATCAACAAGATGTCAAAAATATATGCAACATCAGAAAGAAATTTCACCTAAAATGCGTACAATATTGGTTGATTGGCTGGTGGAATTACAACAAACATTCGAATTGAATCATGAAACATTGTATCATGCAATCAAAATTATGGATCATTTTCTTATGAACAAACCTATTAAACGGATTCGTCTACAATTGCTTGGTATTGTTTCAATGTTTATTGCCGCTAAATGTGATGTATGTATCAATGTGTGTGTGTGTTGAATTGTAAAAAATTCATCTTTTTTTTCTATTACAGGAACGAATCTATCCAATAATCGAAGATTTTGTATACGTTAGCGATAATGCATATGTTCGTGATGATATCATAGAGATGGAGATTGAAATATTACAAGTATTGGAGTTTAATTTAAATTATCCATTATCATATAGTTTTCTTCGTCGTTATGCACGTTGTTCATCACAAACATTGGAAACATTAACATTGAGTCGTTATATTCTTGAATCATCATTAATGGATTATTCATTTGTTGATGAATTAGATTCAAAAATGGCTGCCGCATCATTATTATTGGCTATGCGTATGAAACATTTACAATGGAATAAAACATTGGATTTTTATACTGGTTACAATGAAGAAGATCTAATCGAATTGGCTGGTCGTTTAAATAGATTAATAAAAACTAAAACCAAACAGGAAACCATTCGAAATAAATATTCCGATAGGTACGACGTGTGTGTATTTAATTCAAATCTAATTGATCTAATTCCGTTATTTTATTTCTTTATTTTAGTGTATTTTTCGCTGTAGCCAACATCAAACCATTGGATGATATTTAATTGTTTTCGACTTTTGTGACATCTTTTTATTGAACATTTTTTTAAAAATTTTGACCAAACACACGATGAGCGGCAGACCATTAATATAAATTAATTTACCTAGATTATTAACTGAATATTTTTGTTTTCCATTTCATCATCAATACTCTCACTCTCTCTCTCGCTTTCTCAACAAAAAATTCCATTGTGTTTGTATAAATTTCAATTGCAAATCAACGTATTTACCCACAAATATTTTGACTTATCACACATATATGTATCATTCTTATTGATTTGATTTTTTTAAAAAAATTTTCCAACCAAAATATGATAAAGAAGTGCGAGAAAATGAATAATAAATAATAATAAAGTATAAATATTTATTTGATTTGATTGAAATTTTCACTTTAAATTTGATTGTTTTCAACAATTAATGTTTTTTTTTTTTTTGTTCATCAAACACGTCGTCGATCAGTAAGCACACGAATGATTGAACCAACACCACCTTTTTGGAATGCTTTATCATGCCATACTAATAGATGAGCACTGGAATTATCGGATGGAAGCTCAAAACCACGATAAATATATTTCATAAGTATATCAATCTCATCAAAATTTAATTCATTACAAATGGCTTCAATTTCGGATATTTTTACCGATAATAATACTTTTAGTGCTAATTGAAGATTAGCATCACGTAAATATTGACTTTTCGATCCGATTGGTGCCGAATTCAATACCAATTTTAATGCATCTTTTTGTTTAGCCGAATTTATTAGATTACAGATCTCTTTTTCGTCCACATTCAAACCAGCCGGACTAGATTGATCCAATTGATCTTCTTCTTTGAATACATCTTCACCAAATTGATCGACATCAATCTTACGAAATTGACTGCTTAACGTGTTTTTGGCCATTATTTTGATGTGAAAATAATTATATTCTTTGCACAATAATCAAATTATGATTTTATAAAAAATCGAGCAAAAATTTGAAAAACAACACACCAAAAATAAAAAACATAAACAACGCCCGATTTGACAAGCTTTAATATGATCATCACTTCGTTCATATAGTACGTAACTTGAAATTCCACATCGGAAACAAAAAGATATATTTTTCCGTGAACAATTTATTGAAAAAAAAAAATTATAAATCTCAATTTTATTAATTAGTAATAATCGATTATTATTTTAAAAATAAAACATTTCATTATCCACATGTGTTTTTGTTTTTGTTGTTTTTTTTTTTTTTTGTTTTGATTTTATAATTCCAAAAATAATAAATTTCTTTCCATCCAAAACCATGTGATAGAATATAATTATAGGAAGACTGACAAAATCAAGAGAATCCCATGAGAATTATTAGATAGAACAAATTATGTGGTGAATGGGGTGTGTGTGTGTGTAGGTGTTTTGTGTACCAGGAAACATTGTGAAAATATATGGTGAATGATGATGTGTATGAGATTGTCATTTATTATAAATAGTGGTGATGTGAATTTTTTTTTTCTGTTTTTGAAATTGTTTTTTTTTAAATATTATAACACTATTTTCGTTTGATTCGTTTGTTTGCTTTCGATGATTTACCATAACGTAATACATTACAATCAAATTTACCAATTTCTTTCAATTTTTGTCTTTGTTGTATCATATTTCTTAAACTAACCAATGTTGATGGGCTAGCACCGGTACCATGACGTACATGTTTACCAGTTAATGGTCTACTAATACGTTTCCTATCGAACATATTCATTCCATTGGTTGTATCGGCTGAACGTAATTCCGTTATACCAACAACACCATCTTGGCTACAATCAGGTGATGTACGTTTCGTTTCATAAAGGCCATTATTTTCGAATGTTGGTGATGATAATGATTTACCATTATGATTATGATTATGATGATGATGACTTTTTGTGTCCAACATTGGTGGTGATTTATTTTTCATCATCATCATCATCGTTGATGAATCCAGATGATGATCATTGGAACTTGTTGTTGATGTTGTCTGTGATGGATTTGTTGATAATAATTTTGCATAAGTTTCTGCTACAGCAACAGCTGCTCTGGATGCAAATGCCGGTTCTTGCATTAGATAATAATAATAATGTTTATATAAATCTAATTGATGATGATCATGATGACCAATTGGTTTTGTTCCATGAAATTCTCTTATCGGTGATTGTGGTTTTATAGTACCAGGATGATGATTAGTATCGGCAGCCATATATTTAATCGATGATGTTGATGATGGTGGCGATGATGATGAAGCTGTTGTTGTTGTTGTTGTTGTTGTTGTAGCCATCATCATCATCGCCATTTCCTTTTGATGATGATGATGATAGTGAGAATTTACATTCATATTATGACCATTATTAGTTCGAAGATCGAGTATATTGTTTACTGTACCATTTCCTTTATGGCCACCAATATCAACACCACTATCATCACTATTGTTATTATTCAATGATTTCTGTCGTCTTGTTGTTTGTTCATTATCACGACGTTCATTATCCCAACATTCTATGAAAAATGAAATTGAAAGAAAATAACAAATAAAAATCAATTAAAAAGAAAGAACAAAAATAAAAACTTTTTCTAATAAATTTACCAATAACTTCTTTTCGATAATTACGATAAAATTTTGTTTGACTGGAATCTGTTTGAATTTTTGTCGGTGAATTACCATTTTGGCAATTATCAATATTATGATGGTGATTGGATGAAATCTTTTCTGATAAATCAACAGCAATATAATCAATACATTTTTGTTTTTGTTCATTTATTTTTATAATGGAATCAATCGATTCTTTGCAATCATTATTCTGTGATATTGATTTATCAAGAAAATAATTGGATGCAAATAATTTTTTTGGTGCACAAATTTTTGTTGGTGATATTGTTGTCGCTGTCGTTGTCGTTGTTGTCGTCGTCGTTGTGTTGGTGCTGGTGATGGTGGTGATGATGGATTTTCCATGATTATTAGCAAATAGAATTGGTCGTGTTGTTGGCAATAATAGTCGATTTAGGCTAGATTCAGATTTAGATCGAAATAGTAATGATGATGATGAACAACATAATGACCAAGAATTTCTTTTCAATAATAACATTGCCGGCGATGAAATTGCCGATAATGATGGTAGACAAGGATAACTTAATGATTTTTTTAGACGAAAATTTCTTATTTTTTGTCGTCGATGTGATGCTGGTGGTGGTGGTGATGGATCGCCATCGCCGCCTTCGTAATAGCAAGCAATTTGAGATCCATTTAATTTCATTATTGATGAGTGATTTGATTTGATTTTCACCGATGATGATGATGATGATGATAATTGTTGTGAATTTTTTACCATTATTGTTGTTGTCGTACTTGTAGGTGATGGTATCGATGTTGATGACGACAATGACGATGGTGGTGATGATGAAGATGTTGTAGATGAAGATAATGGTAATGCTTGTTTGCGGTGGTAGATGATCATCACTATTTTTAATTATATCTGTTTGACCATATTCTGTTGTATGATAATCATACGGTGATGATGATGTTGATGATGATGTCGATTCTGCAGACAATGGTGGACGATGATGATGACGAATATGATGATGATCAATCCTATCATTCAATTGTCGATCCCGTGTATGATGATTTAATATATGATGAGAATGCGAATGATGATGGTGACTACCATTCGTTAAATGAATAGGATGATGATCAACAATTTTGGCAGCCGTTGCTGTGAATGGAAATATAATTCCATCTTGTGCGGCAGCTGCTGCGGCTGCTGCTGCTGCAGCAGCAGCATGTAATTGATAAGGCATCACATAATGATCCAATATAGCTGGATCGATTGATGATTTTGATTTCAATTGCGAATGATGACTTAATTGTGGATGAGATGTTGCTGACGCTGATGATGATGATGATGATGATGGCGGTAGTTGTGGTATTGGTGTTGGTTGACCACATCCAGTTGGATCAATGAATAAATATGGAAATAGATTACCGGAAGTTGGATGTGAATGAAACGGTGATGGTGGTGGTGGATGATGGTAATGATGTTTCATAAGATTAGGGAAACAATATCGACCGGAAGCGGCAGCAGCTGTAGCTGCTGCTGCTGCCGCTGTTGGTGATGGCCAATCATTAATTGGCGATTGAGGTGGTGGTGGAGAACCAAAAAATGCTTGTCTATGTTGTTCATATTCTTTAAATGAACCAAAAGATTTGACATGATGATGATTTGCATGTTGATGATGGATAGATGATGGTACCACAATCGATTGCTGTGTTGTTGTTGCTGTTGTTGTTATTGTTGTTGGTGATGTTTTTTTCACACTTAAATCAATAGGAATATCTTCTTTGGTTAGAAATAAATTTTGATTATTTGGCTCAACACATTGATTGGCTGCTGATGATGACAATAGCGCATAGTTTATAAAACGTTCTTTCGGTTTCATAGTTTGTAACAGATTCTTTTTTTTTTCTTTATCAAAAAACCAAAAAAAAAACAGAAAACAAACTAAATATTGATCAAAAATTCAATACTGCAAGTTATAAAACAAAATAAAACGTTGATGATGAATCGTGCTCGACATTGTCGAATTTTGATGTTTTGTTGCGATCCATTCAATTTGTTTGATGATGAAAAAAAAAAATCCAAATGGATCAAATTATGAATTGTCGAAAAGGATAAAGAAAAATAAAAGATAAATAATTAGAAAAAAAAATTTTCTTGTTTGTTTACACACAAACACACATACGGTTATCAATCAGCTGTCTATGTGTTTTTCTATAGATGACCAATCATCATCATCAATAGATTTAATTTTGAAAATTGAAAAATTAAAATTAATCAAAAAAATCCAAAAAATTATAAAAAAAAACTATTGAATCTATTACCTTTTCGCTGTGTGTGTGTGTGTGTGATGACCGGATGATTGAAAATTTTTATCTTTGGTGGTATACTGGAATAATCAATTAGATGAAACATTGATTATTGATTATACATATGTATACTGAAGGACTAGTGGTAGCTGATTGACTGATTGTTTTTCAATTTTCTCATGATGATGATGATGATGATGATGATTTCATCCAATTCTTTTCAATGGATGATCGCGATTGAATTCTAATAATGATAAGAAAAAACAAACAGTCAGGTTAATTTATTATGAATAAATTGTTTTGGTGGTTTTCTTGTCTATAAAAGATTTAAAATTACAACAATATTCACACCACCACCACCAGAAAAAAAAACACAAGAACCAGAAAGGGGCACATCACAGCAACAAAAAAAAAATCCACCAGTATAATGTGTACCCTTCAAAAACAACAACAACAACAACAAAATATCAATGAGATTTAAACGATGAACAAAAAAAAAATTAATCAAATTCAACGTACACACACACACAGCGAGAAAAAAAAACTTGAAAACATTCACATAGCCTAATAGAAAATTTTAATTCAAATTTTTTTTTTTTTTTTTGAGTAAAAGAAAAAATATTTGTTCTAGCCAAAAAAAAAAATGTGAAAAAAAAGAATTAATACACAGGTAACCAATGACAAAATGTCAACGAACCATTCAAAAAAGAAAAAAAATCAAACATTACAAATTATACAGATAAATAAATATTACATGCATCTCATCATCATCATCATCGACCATTGTAATAAATTGAATTAAATTCCAAATCATAATGGCGTGAAAATAATTCCGGCATTTGAAATTTTTTTTTGTTCAAGATTTTAGCGGTAGAGAGAGAGAAACTTAGTAGATTGGTTGATGGTAGGATGGTCTAATTTAATTTTGGTTTTTTTTTCGTTATATCACAAAAAAAAACTGTTGATGCGACAATTTTTTTTTTTTAGTTTTCTGGTCGTTTGAATCTTTTGTAAATTGTCAATTTGTCATCATCGTCATCTAGTTCTAGTCTGATTAAAATATTTTTTGCATCGTTGATTTATGAAAATGTACGAAAAAAAAAAAACAAAACAAAACAAAACCAGAAAAAAAAATTTTTTCGACACAAAAAAATAAACAATGATGGTTCATAGGTGGAGATGGAATATTATTATTATTTTTTTTTTTTGCGACAACAAAAAAAAATTAAAATGACCAAAAAACTCATACATTCACCGTCAGAAATCAGTCAAAAAAAAAAAAAAAAATTCTTCCACAAAAACCACAAAATAATTCGACCAAAGAAAAAAGTGAAATATTGAAGAATTTTTTTTTCTCTCTCTGTCCAAAAACACACTCATATATCATATCAAATGTGGCTGAGAAAAAAAAATATCCAAATGGCAAAGTTTATCGACCGAGGTCAAGTTGATGTATGTGAGGTTTAGGTGTATCATCTAAGCCATTCACAAAAAAAAATCTATCAGTGTGTGTGTGTGAACCCTATGGCCCATAGTTTTACCACATATACCGTTGTTTGACATAATATCTAGGTTGCTGTGTGTGTGTGTCTGAATATTGTTTATTTATTGTTTGTCATCGTTTTATTTTTTCTTTTCGTTCGTTTGCAATGGAAAATTTGTTGTTGTTGTTGTTGTTACTGTTTTTTTTTCACTGCAATTCGCGTGCATTTACATTTGCATATGATGATGATGATGATGATGAATGATTCATTCAGCTAGCTGAATATTACTGGCTGGCCATTGGTCAAGTATTGCGCGGGTGGTAGATTGATTTTTTATTATTATTATTATTATTTGAAAAGATGAAATAGAAGAAACTAGGTCACTAATCATTTCAGACTATACACATGTGTGTGTCTGTGTATTATGGACAGCCATCATTCATTCTATGATCTAGTTCTACATAAGATTGGGTTTTTTTTCTCTGATTCAAATGGGTGGAGGGGAAAAAATCAAATGGCCATTCGTAAACAACAACAACATCAACATATAAGCTATATATAAAATTCAACAACAACAACAACAACAACAAAAAATTCAGACCAACCAACGGTCCTATAAGTTTCATCTTGAAAATTAGTTTCATTTTTTTTTATTGTTATTATGATGATAATGATAATCGTAACCATTTTTTTTTGGCGGACCCTTAGGATACATACTGATATTTGGTCGCACAAATTGTCACACAACACAAACAACAAACAGCGACAATCACACCAGCCACCAACCCATCATCTCAATATAAGTCATATAAAAATCATCATCATTATTATAACGGTTCTATGGTTGTCATATTTTTTATTGAGGGCCAATCGATGAATAACCACCATTGGGCTATTGTAGAGCAGTAGCGGCCACCATTATTCAAAGAGTTGAACATAAAGTAAAGAAAAAAAAAGGCGAGTGACCTTTGAGTTGAATACAACCAAGATAGTTAGAAGAGGGTCTAGGATTTTTTTTATGGCCCATACAAAGTTGTTGTTGTCATCACTGTCACGGGTCATCACAAGGTTTTTTTTGAATCGGTTGACCTTATTTACAATTTTTTTGTTTGCTCTTATTTCTTCAAAAGGGTTTCCTACACTTTACCAATCACGAGAACCATAACAAATCTAGTGACATTGAAAATATATTGATTTAAATAATAAGTAAAATAGCTGGGAGCGGTTTCCGTGTTATTTTTCTTTCTGAAAAACATAACACACACACACAGAAGATTTGAATATAAAGATTTTTAAAAATTTTGTTTTTCAAGGAAAATTTTTCCCAGAAAAAAAAATTCAAGAATTCATCCAATTCATCATGTTCAATCACGTAAATGTTGCCTCATAAAATGTCGTAATAATTGACAATGTTTTAAGACATATTTGGGTGTGTGTGATTGAAGGGTTCTTTTTTTTGTAAGGTTATTCCATGGAAAAAAAAACATTCCAACAGGTAATTCCAATGAAAATTAATGGCATTATTATTCATCTGGTTACAATTTCATACGAATAGATTAGACAAAATTGTTTCAGAAAAGATAAACAAAATCAATTTTTTTTCCATAGAAAAATTCCTTTTCTTTTAAATCTTGATCAAAACCCGGTGATATAATACAAATAATATAATGACGATCATCATCATCATCATTATCAAACAGGCAATTGTTTACAATTATCTCATTGTAACCATTGTTTTTTATTTCAAAATAAAAAATCTGTTAAAATAGGAAGAAGACTCTCAAAACAAAACAAAACAAAAAAACGGAACAGTCATATCTAAATTGAATTTTTCATTTTTTTTTCGTCGATTTTTTTTTATCATGAATTGAAACCAGTTTCTCTTGTTCATTTCATTGGTTGCATCTTGAAATTCATTTCATTTTCTCTCATTTTCATTCACATTCACATTCACTATCTTTCTCTCTCTCTCTTGCATTGATTTATCATAAAGAAATAACAAATGACAATCATTTGAAATGAAATAAAAACATGTTTCACTTCCGCATAGATTACTTAGTGGTGGTGTTGGTCATTGTTTTGTTGTGAATGAAATAATAATCTTTTAATAATAACTTGTGTCCAAAATTTCTTAAACATTTCTCACTCTCTCTCTCCATCATTCATGGATTGATCGAAATATCAATTTTGGTCATGGAAATGAAAATGAAAAAAAATGTGTAAAAATTTGTCACTTTTTAATTGATTTGAATTTTGATTTGACCAAAGAAAAAAACAACACCTGTTTTGTTGTCGATCCACACAAAAACATTCGGTAATAATTGGCCTATTTATGGTGATTTAATTTCTTTTTACATATCGATCATATATGTATTTCGCTTCACAACAACAACAACAACAACAAAAAACAGGATCTTTTTGTTTTTGTTTTCTTTTGAATCATTAAGGAAAAATGAAAATTTTTACATTTATATTTTTGCTCTCAAACCATTTAAAGGATTGTGATAAAAATATGGATTTTTTAGTTTACATTCGGTTATTCATCATTAACAACAATTGAAGAAACAAACAAACAAACAAAAGCAGTTCAGCCGGGTAAAATGGAAATGAAAATAAACTATATGCGTAGGCGGAGGTGGAGCACACACACACACACACACAGACAATGTGTTGATGATGAAAATAAACGTCGAAAATGGACGAAAATGAAAAAAAATTTTTTTACTTTCCATAGCTTAATTCAAACAACCAGGAAGTCATCATCATCATCATCAGTAGTAGTTTGTTGTTTGTCGCAAAAAAAAAAAAAAAAATGAAATGATTGTAATATGGTATGGTGTTCCATCATAATCATCATCAACAACAGTAACAGTAACAACCACGACGAATGAATGAATGAATGAATTGGAACACAATTCAAAAATAACGGCAAACACGCGCAACGGGTTATATATTGTTTGTGTGTCTGTAAATGTGTGTGTGTATGTATGTATGTTACAGACAATAATAACCGGTTTTATTTCCCGTGAACATTTCCCGTATTTATTTTTTTATTTTTATTTTTCGTTTAAATTACAATTTCTTTAATAAGGTTTTTTATGCGCAATTTTTTTTCTTTACTTTCAAAGAAATTATTTATA